TTGGGAACCTCTAGGAGGTTCTGGAGAGTGTGCCTGGAAATACGGTTGTCTGGACTTCCCTCCTGGACCCATTACATTTGTCTCCCAACCTTGAATGAATTTATTTCGATTTGGGTAACTTTAGAAAATGGAATTCATCCCAAGACATAACTTTTATTTTTTACTGTAATAATACAACAATTCCCCCCCCCCCCCCCCCCCCCCCAAAAAAAAAGAGAGCAGAGACCACCAAAGACCATACATCTGAAGAGTTTGAACTTTTGTTTTCAATGGCATAGTTTTTGTTGTAGAAGGATGTCCTTTAGGACACCAGTTGTCCCAGAAAACACACGTTGTCTGCTATCCTAGAAACCTCATACTTTAGAGGATGGTACCAGTGTGACTGCAGCTTGAATCTGTTTCTATTGCCTCAATTCAGGAAAAAAAAAAATTGATCTCACCTCTCAATCCAATTTCCAATGAGGAAGTCTCAGTAGGTGGAAACTTCTTACAATGTCTTTTCATTAATATTTGCAATTAGCACAGGACCTGCAGTGCTGATCTTTTTAGTGTTTAAAGGGTATTTCAGATTAACCAGTTGCCAATTTGGCAGTATGAGAATCTAAGTATCTTAAATGCCTTCTGAGCATTTAATTCCTTTAATTTAGCTCGCTATATTACTCACAGGCGATAACATCTGGTTAGTTTGTCCGTTTATGAGAATTCAAACATTCTCCTTGGATTTTAAGCTAAACAGACATGAATATGTTTGGTTTTGGCAGCTATATCGTTACTCCACATCTGACTACTTTGTTTCTTGGCAACACTTTCTCCGATAATGTCCCAAAAATACTTGATAATTCCCTGTCCAGCTTGTTTTTTTCTTTTTTGATCATTTGATGTCAGAGCTACTTGATTTAGAAAAGATACACAAAGGCATCGACTCTGAATACTGGAATTCTTTAGAAATAAAAAAAAGAAATAAAGTCCTGATTGTTTATTGATTGCAATTTCAAAAGAAGACTGAGATATGATGACTTTCCTTAAATCATGTTCAAATGCATTTTCTCTTCTCTACTAGAATGTCCACCCAGCTCTTTGATAAGAAATGCAGAAACCTGGAAGATTATAGTCAAAGATTATGAGAATCAGTGAGCTGAAGGATAGATGACATAGAGACATGCATATCATTCATTGATTTTCACATTTAGGTACAATAAAGTTTAAATTGATAGGTATGGGAAAGATGTATGAAGTCCAATGAATAGATGTGGCTGATTTTTGATCTGCAAAAGCCGTCTAGAGTCGTTTCTGCATATGAAATCTGTTCCTCCAACAAGCATAGATGCTTATAGACTACAAATGGATGGATTTGTGTTGAAGAGAACACCTCTTTTATTTGATGCATGAACTGATACACACATGCAGAGACACGGTTTCATCACATCAAAAGGCATTATGCAGATGTGCCTTCATTTCCTGGAGATTTACCCTGAACATTTACTGATATGTGACCCAGAAAATCTAAAGAGTCCTCCTGATGCCTTTTAATGTCAATAAATCAGCCATTTCTAGGTGCTTGTGTGCATGTTATTCCAAATCCTGATAGTGACATCTGCTGGACATTTAGAGGAGTGGCTTGAACTCAGTTTTGCTCTAAAATGCATGACTTTACTGCAGAATAATTGGTGTTTGGTGCACTTTATTGTGTTTTGCAGAATAATTGCCCTCACTCAAAGCGTTTTGAAAGCACATTTGATGAAAATGTATTATTTGTCAATCTATCTGTGTTATTCTTTATAAAACCAAGCATTATTGATCAAAAGAGTTGGCACTAATGCTCATCTCCTTGTCTGAAATAGTGGTGACGGCTCATTTCCTCTAATTGCAAAAACTCTTGAAAGCAAAATTCAGCTACTCAGACTGGCTGAACCTAAAAAAAAAGCAGACCTAGCCTTCCTAGTGGCATATAGGTTGTGTCATTTTGGAGTCTCTCTCTATTATGTGGCATAGCTGCATTTTGAAAGCTAAAAGCCTCCAGACTGCCCAGACAAGCACAGCTGCAGTGGTAGCAGCACAAACAGCAACACTCTAAACCAGCTCTGGCTTGATGCTTGTACAAAAGTGGGACAGTGTTTGCCTAAAGGAGGGTGAAGTGGTCCTTTGAAGGACGGTCTGCGGTCCCATTTCCCATGAGGAAAAACTGAGTCACTGTATCTGTGTCTTGCTAAACAAAAGTGAAGGTGCCTTTCAGGCAAGGAGTAAAAAAAATTATTTAAGGCCTTGGCTGTTTAAGTTCCAGAACAATCATAGTAGTTGTCATGTGAATAAAGCTACAACTATGCAGTAGCCAAGGGTGTGCCAAACAATCCAATCTCAGCAAATCCTTCCTCGGAGGAAAAAAAAGGTTAATAAAACGGTTGCTCGTCTGCCTTAGTGGGACATTTCAGCTGAGCAGCAAAAGCCCAAGATACGTTAGGTTAGAGTATTGATTGTTTGAAATGTCACACGAAACCTTGTATATGAATACAAGCGGCTCTGCCAGCGAGTGTAACTGTATTTGAAGAAAAGAAAATTTAGAGGCGGGCGATTCTATCTATATGCAACGACAAACATAAAGGCGGATCTTGAGGGTTACCTGAAGTGCAGCAGAGCAATTATTATTCCATGTCATCTTGGGGTTGGCTTGCGGAGGAGCCGAATTCTTGTGAGATTTGAAAGGTCAAAGTCACGAAGAATCTATCCAGCAAACATACCTGGTTTTCCTTTCTGGGCAAAACACACAGCGGTCCTGCCTTTCAACATAAAAGCCACGATCTGCTTAATAATATGTTAAGTAATGTGGATGCTTTATCTCTAGTGCCTAACAACGTCCGTTTCTGTCAGTACGGTTATTTTCTTTATTGCTGCTCTATTTAATCCATGTACCTACTGTGGATGGCCATCTTGAATTTGTCTATATTGCCACATTTTTGGTCTACTCAAACCACTAAATCATTTGTAAAACCTGCGAAAAATTATTAAGAAAAACATCTTTCTTCTTTACTTAAATGTTTTAGATCAAGGGTACTTAAATATAAGTGGCCGAGGGTCACATTAAAAAATTCCCAATTATGTTGAGGGCCAGGGACTGGTGGTGGTGCGGTGCTGTTAGAGTAAAAGGAATCTTAAGTATCCTCCCCTTTTCTGTCGGCTCATGGGTCCCCGGAAGAACAAAAAAATGAATGCAAGTCAACGGAGATGAAAAAACTATTTTCTAACACGCTTTGCCTTATGCCCTGGATTGCACATATTTTGTACTTAAATGAAATGTAATGATGTGTGTTTCAACCATGCCAGTCACATACTTAGAGATTTTTCAGCTTCATCAAAAGTTCTGAACTAGCATCACCATAAATCAGACGTCAGTACGCTGCATGTATGACGTCACCACAGAATCTCCTCTCCTTTAGCTTGGTTGCTCCTTACCACATGGCCAGATTTTTGGTGGTTCTTTCCTCCTCAAAGAAGAATTTGAAGTTTGCTGAACTTACAGCCATTTTCCATCTGTTTTTCTCTGTGTCTGGTTTGATGACGTCGCTTTGGTGATGCGCATTTTTAGTCCTGGACTTATTTTTTCACAAACCCAAAATAATGTTCCCCCATTCGAAAATAAGTGCGTTCTTTGTATCAAAATGTGTCTTTAAAAATCATGGACATCATATGTGAAATCCATGGCACATAACAAGTGGAATTAGAAAATAACGTTTTTAGTCTCATTGACTTGCAATAATTTTTTTCGTTCCTCTGGGGACCCATGGTCCTGAAGTAGATGGGCGTGACTTAGGCTCCCTATCGCAGTACCCCTGTATAAAAAGGTCCAGTCCGGAGGTGGGGGTGAGGGGTGCTGGTGGTCTCTGGGCCACAAAGAGGGGGCTCACAGTCCGGACCTGGACCACCTATTGAGTACCACTGTTTTAGATCAATCATACAAAAGTACCCTGAAAGATACAAAAAGCAGTTTTAAAATGATTCATCCATTCATTGATGTAATGCAGTCACCCAAACCAACTTGATCTGGTGTAAAATTATATGTATATAAATTAACTGTGATTAGCCACATCATTTGGGAAGGTGCTTTTGGTTTCATTAGTTACACCCAGATCTGATTATTACCAGAGCTGTAGAATTAAGAAATATCTTCAGTAGACTCTGTCATACATCATAAAGTAGGTTAAAAGATCTCAAAAAGAAACACAATGTTAGCATGACAAACCATCCTATATATGTGGATATATGGTGTGGCCACAACCCATAGACAGATTTCAGTCATGCGGCAGAATCTACGGTTGTCTATCAAATGGCCTCCAGACGCTACTGGACAGTGCTAGGACCAGTCAGAGCAATGAACAACATGACATACTCACCGCTACAAATGTTAGCCAGTGGGGCAGTCCACCATACACCGTCGAAGAAGACACAAATACATCCTTTTTCTAAATAAAAGACTGAAATATCTCTATCTGTTCTAACACACCGTTCCTCTTTCGAAAGAAATTCAAAAACAAAAGAACCCAAATCAACATCTAAGGCAACATTTTGGAAAGTGGGTGTCCTGTTGCTTCTGGTGTAAAACTAGCGCTAACTAGCTAAACTAACTTTCTTTTCCAAAAAGAAAAAAAAAGAAACAAACAGCATACCAGCAGTAAAGCATGATCATGATATAATGATCTTAGGCTGCTTTGCTGCTTCACGACCTGAACCACTGGCTGTAGCTGATGGGAACATGAATTCTCTCCACCAGAGAATCCGGAAACAGACCTTTGATCTTACTGGTCAATATATTTTCCACGTTTCGAAAGCTGTCAATAAGTGAAATCTCCATTTGAAAACTGAATTTTATGCCAACTCAACTTATCTTTAATTTATTTTAGCAACAAACAACCGGCGTTCAAAGCCAAATGAGCTCTGTGCACTGAGGTCCAAGCTAACTGCACATTATCTTATGATCTTAAAGACATACAAAAGAAAACCAACCATAATCCAATAAGAAACAATATTTATTTTCTACAATCTCATAGATTTATCTCCAACATTGTTCCAAGCACTTCTATCTTGTTTTCCATAGAAATGTCCACAGAGACTGAACATGAAACACCGTGGTCATAAAGTTATAGCGGAAAAATTAAATTAAGTACTATATACTTGTGTCCGATACAATGAAATACAATGTATTCAATGGGCTGCCAAAGAAAAGAGAGTTAAACATCTTGTTTGTTCTTTGTGCAAATAAACCAACACATCTGAATTTATGGGAAAATGTTCTATGTACATAGAAAAATGGCATTTTAGACATTACTACATAATACACCAGAGGTTATTTTTTTGTCCCTTTATGTATGAAAAATCAACAAAATTATAATCAAGATTAGAAAAGAATCATGTGCATTTTATTGACTTCACTGTGGTGTAACAAGTCTAAAATGAGCCCAGAGTGCCTGGCCATATAGTATCGTAGAAGTGAAAAATGATTTTCACAACTGTAAATGTACATGTATTGACTGAAAATTTAAATCTAAGAGGAAAAACTGAATATAAAGTTTTGAAAAAAATTTTTTTTGCCAAAATGTTAGGAAAAAAACACCTCCTTTAGCCTTTCGGTATCACCTCAGGGCTACTGCTGTAAGACAACTCACTTATTATACACTCCTTAAACCTATGATCACAAAAAAAAAGAAAATTATAATTATCACATTACGTCAAAAAAGACAACTAATTTCCCAGTAAGAATGCATGTAAATTGCACAAAAGTTAGATCTTTCAAGCTACAAAACCATGAATAAAGTGTAAACAATGTGCAAAAAACAAGGTTTAAGGGAAACCTGCATTTTATATTACCATAATCCTTTCCATCATTTTAAAAAAATAAACAAGTCTTTTATCATAGAATTAAGTTTATCTCAACAAGCAGCCACGGCTACTTTGGTTTTTCCATTTCATTGAACTGGGGAAAGATTAACAGGGACATCAAGGGGCAACAACTTTACAAAATTTGCACCTGTTAGTCGGGTTTCTTCTTCAGCCATGGCTGATTAAAAGCAATGTGTGAATGCCTTGTTTTTATTTTCAAAGTGCTGTTTCAGAGAAAGTTATGTGTAAAAAAATTACATTGAGTTGTGGCTTGTTTCAGCTTCGCAATTATTACTCGAATTCTATTTGTGACCCATTGTGCATTGTACAAGGTATATCTAACCCATTGCTTCTTGTTTTGGGAAGCTCAAATACTCATTTCTCTTACAAAAGCCTGTCTGCTATGGCTTCTGTGGAGGAAAACCAATAGGAAAAGCTGAATGCTGATCTGATCAGAGAGGAAACGGTTTGTTTTTATTGTTTTGTTACTTCCTCTAAGAGCAAATCTATACTAGTGGAATTTAATGTGTGGAAGAAGAGAATGAACAACACTTCTGACCTTCATCAAATCAAAAGGAACTATTTAGAGACCCTTTCCTAGTGCAGCTTTTTGACAATGACTTATGGTGGATAAATTTTAGAACATAATAAAATATGTTGCTTTCAGTTGCTTGGTTCCAGTCCCTCTAGATGGTCAGGGATAGGTAGTCCAGTGAGAATTGTCAGACACTTGTTCCACACGTTGAACACAGGACAAACAGGCTGGAGAAATGAGACATGAAAAGTGTGAAGATGCTGGGAGCCGATGGCATCGTAGAAGGACACGTATCCGGCATCGTAGTCGAGCAGGATCCCAATGCGCCGAAGGTGGGGCGAGGGCTCGATTGCCATCTCCTTACTGTTGTGGCGAACCACCCAAGAGTTGTTGCAACGGCACAGAACCCAAGAGGCTGAGTTCTTGCCAATCCATTCGTGTTTGGGGGCCGATTTGTAGGCAATCCCTATCGCGTACCTAATCAGAAGAGAAAAGATTTATGTTAGCTTAAACACATTTTTCACAGTACCGCCAGAACTGTTCGGCGCTTACCATGTGCTCCCTCCTATTAAAGCCTCCCAGTAGTGACGCCCACTGTCAATATAAACATTTCCCACCACGCCATAGCTGCTCTGGCTGGAGAACCGATCCTGGCTATGACCTTTCTTGGACGTGGTTTCATCCCGCTCCACCGTGAGATTATCATGTGACACCTTTAGCTTCTTGTGGGCAGATTTGGGGTCCAGTTTAAATGGCTGACCTAGTTACAAAACAGTTTACTTTATAAATGAAAATTTACCAACAAAAACACTTGGTGAATGCCAGTCTTGACTTTCTTACTGTTGGTCTTCAGAGTCCCTGGTTCACTGCTTCTACTTCCTGCCTGATTAATGGCCTTTACAACAAAGATGTACTTTGTGCCGCTTTGCAGACCGTGAACGGTGTAGTGGTTCTGCTTGATGTTAGGAACAATCATCCAACTTTCCAGTGACTTACATAGACCTGGACAGAAAAATAGGACAACTGTTAATCAGATAAAGAAGTATGTAAAGGAAACATTGTGTTAAAATTTAGAAGTTTTACCTCACAGACCAATATTTTTTTCTAAAGTTCAATAGAAAAGGGTTGTACACCTTTGTGACAAGAGACTGTTATAAACTGAATGTGTCAGCCTTTGGCAGAGGGAACAGGTAAGAGGGCGAGAAAAGACTCAAGAGGAAGCAATTCACACCTCGTTGACTTCATACCAGCACTGTGCTTTCTGCTGCGAGTGTGTCTTGGGTATGTGTTTATTTAATGGCACCTCAGCTTTTTCCACACTGCTTCCCAAGGCAAGTGTGTGTGTATTTACCCTTCCTGTTAGGACTTTGTTTACCTGAGGGATTTTACTCAGTTAGGCTCTGCTCTGGGCAAGCCACCCAGAAGTTTCAACTGAAAATAGTTGAACCCACAATTTCTCTTTAGTCTCCAAGTGTCACTTAAATGTTGGATCACCAATAAGTGCCTAAAAATAAGAAATAATTTGTTTTTAAAAAAAGCTACAAATTAAGAAACAATTTAAACCACGCAAATGCTAGCACAGTGACGGGTTTTAACACTATGCTAAAAATGTACACATTTAAGTTGAAATGTCTACAATGAGATGAGTAGATTTTTTTAGAATAAATAATTTTTAAAACTGGCTTAAAGCAACAAAATATTGAAAGGTCTCCCACTTTTAGTCATTACAAATGAAAAACACCAAGTTTGTATGGAACAACTAAGTATGTTGTGTTTCTGGCATTGTTTTAAAACCACATGATTTGAACTTCCTGTACAGGGCCTCATCTGTTTGGCTCTAGGGTCAGTTGTGTTGCATTTGACATAAATACTGACAGGAACACTGTTGTCTTTAGTAAATGTGTTTAGAAGAAAATAAAACATCAACCTAATTCAATGAACACAAAGAGACTGGGACATGGCAAAGGAGATATAAAGTGCCACATTTGTGTGATAAATATAGTTTCTCAGTTAACTTTAAGTATTGAAGTAATAAGAGTGTAATGAAAAAAGAAGATGGAATAAAAGAATGAGGGAATTATTTGACAGTGTACAAGGAAAAGAAATGAAAAAGGAATCAGGTAAAAAAGATTTTTGAAGATAAGTCTTTGGGTGACGACCCCATTCTCTTCCTTGTATCTGCTGCTCACTCAAGTGCACTCAGGCTTTACAGGAGCTTGTGTGTACTTGAGTAATGTGTGTTTCTGCATATACTGCTTGTTTGTTGATGTTCAACAAGACATTGCGTCGCCAAGTGTGTCTCAAATGCTCATTTGCTCCCTAGCTGTCATCTCTCCTAAAGCGTCTCAATCCTGCAGTATTACCTGTGTGGTTTGAATGTGTAGAAAAAAGACCATTTGCCCATTGGATTAGATTTATTTGATCATGTGTGACAAGAGTAGAACCAATATCCACAAACTAGCCAAGACTTTATGAGTTTGTACGCAGTTTGTCTACAATACATGTTGGCATGATCATAATATTTTTGCATGAAAATTTTAACATGTCACATATTCGTGTTCTCAAATACAACTTTTAATCTGAGTATAGGCAACTACAGCCGTATGGTTCTTATAAAAAAGCACTAAAACATTAGTTTAGAATCTAGACCACCGGTTTGCTGAGGCAAAACGATGGTCTGGGCACACTCCGCTGGAACCTCCACTGCCCTTGCTATCTCGTGCCGGGCCAGTCACAGCTTGGTTTGCATCTTCTTTGACGATGTATGGTGGACTACTCGTTCACTGACATTGGTAGCGGTCCAGTCACAGTGCTCTATTGGTTTGGCCGCTACATGGGCCAATCACAGCGTTCTATCAGTCATGTGGGCGGGATGTTAGTGCAACTGATCAAAACTAAAATGGCGACCGCTTCGTAGTGGTCCAATGCTTTGATGGGCCAATCACAGCATTCTGTTACTGGGAAGTATGTTACTGCGACTGAGTGGAAAACAAAAACAAAGATGGCGACGGCTTGCTTTGTTTTGAACAGCTTTGGACTATTTAGACATTTTCTTGGGCTTCCTCTTTGAGTCAAGCAGATAAAGGATGCATTTGCATCTTTGTTGATGGAGTGTGGCAGACTAACCCATTGACTGACACCCGTAGCGATGAGGACATCATGTCATTTTTTTTCCTATAGCATGCGAAGATAGTTTGAAACACAATCGTAGATCCCGCCCCACGACAGAGCCGTCAATGGACTATGGCCAAACTATACATTCAGATATATAGGATGGCTTTCCAGGCTACTAAAACATACTACCACCATTCCATATGCCAACATGCTGTTAATTTTGACGGTCTACAGACTTCTTGAAGTTAACACTGCTAGGATATAACATTTTTCAAAGTGGCAGCTGATTCTCACCAAAAACTATAAAATTATTTCTCTAAACGATTGCCACTAGAAAAATAAGTCATCAATCAGAATAAATTACATTTTCTCATGATTGAAATGATGGCTGAATAAAAATGTTTACTAACATGTTGTTAATGCTGAATTGTAAAAAAAATTCTGTTGCATTTTTGCTGTCTTTTTACAACCTCTATAGGAGATTATAGTATTGACATCCTTGCTTTTGTAAAAATATATATTTCTGAGTTGTAGCAAGTTTAATGTTACTGTTGAGTTTGATTCTTTTAAGATTCATCCTGGATTTAGTATCAAACGTAAGTTAGTATACGTTCACCCCCAATCAAGTTAAGAATTGTTTATTTTTACCCAAAATCCATGAGGTTCCTGGAGACACAACATAATAAAAAATATATATGTTTGTTGCTTTGCTATAGCAGATACCCCAAAATATACAGATAAAGCCCAGCATTCTCTATGAATAGAGTACAATTCCGATGTTTCCAAAATCTTGAAAATACAAATAACTCCAATCTGATTCGAGTTCTCCTCTACAATTATAGACTTACTGGCAATGTTGGACTGTCCAGTGAAGATGGCATACTGGAGCTCATAGGACAAAACTGAGAACTCATCATCGGACGTCCAGTGGACACTGATTGTATCGTAGGAAGCCGTGCACAACTCCTCCCGAATGCTCGGTGCACTTGGAGCTGTCAAACAAAGAAGGAAAAAAAATGAATAAAACATTCTATATGTAACAATGGCATCCTGTGGTCTAATGTGGTTACTGCAGTCCATTTTGGTAAATGGTGTTAGGGCTTTGCAATTAGCAAAAACTCTTTCTCGCTGCCGTTTTGAAGCGAATACGAGTCTCACAAAGTAAGTTAATAAGTGCATGAATACATTTTCATATCTGATATTAACACTCTTGAGTGTTTTGTGGTTGGGAGCACTTACTACACTTATTACAGTAATATTTGTCTGGCAGTAATGGAAGTGTGGTTGTTTTCCTTTATTGCTGTTAGTGTTCTGAATGACTCATTAAAGGAAGTGAAATGCCATGATTGACTTATTATTCCCTTCACACATAAATTTCACTGTAATATTGAGTAGTAGTTGATTGAAATAGTAGCTTGAGATATTTTTAGAGCAGACTATTTGCTTTCTATTTACTGTTAGCATTATTAGCTCAATGTTACCCTCTGGCCTGCTTTACCTGATATAAAAGTAAAACAAAAAGGTGCCGTGGCTTCTTATGGGTACAAGAAATAACTTCTGGGTTGCCAAGTTTAGGTCCTCCACCACCTCCCTTACCCATGGTGTCCCACAAGGTTCTGTGCTGGGGCCCCTGCTCTTCCTCCTCTGTCTGCTTCTTCTTCAGCACATCCTGAGCTCCTTCAAAGGAATCTCCTACCATCTTTATGCAGATGACATCCAACTGTACATCTCCTTTAAGCCCCATATGTCTAAGCTGCAGCTGTTACACACCTGCTTAGACTCTATAAAAACCTGGATGGCTGGGAGCTTTCTACAGCTGAATGAAGATTAGACTGAGATCCTCATCTGTGCCCCAGACAAGCTGGTTCCCAAAGTCAGAGACTCTCTTGGTCAGCTTGCTTCTCTCACCAAACCTTCTGACAGGAATCTTGGCGTGACCTTTGACCCAGCTCTCACCCTGGATTCTCATGTCAGTTCTCTTGTTTGCTCTTCCTTCTTCCATCTCAGGAACATTGCAAAGCTGAGTCCCATTCTGCCCCGCTCTGAACTTGAGACAGTTCTCCACACCTTCATCTCCTCACGCTTAGACTACTGTAACTCTCTTTTCACGTGTCTGAGCAGAACCTCCCTGAACCGTCTACAGGTGGTTCAGAATGCCTGTGCTCGGCTTCTGACCAAGTCCTCCAAACACACCCACATCACCCCGCTTCTCCTCCAGCTTCACTGGCTGCCAGTCAACTTCAGGGTTCATTTCAAGATCCTAGTTCTGGTCTTTAGGGCCTTACATTGGTGATCTTCTTAGTCCCTACACCCCCAGCAGGTCCCTGAGGTCCAGTGATCAAAGCCTACTGGTTGTGCAGCACCAGGCTAAAGACCAAAGGTGACAGATCATTTGCTGCTGTGGCCCCCAGACTCTGGAACTCTCTCCCCCTGAGCCTGAGATCAGTGGACTCAGTGGTCTCCTTTAAAAAGCAACTGAAGACTCACTTGTTCATGCTGGCTTTTGTATGACCTTCTTCACCACTCTCTCTTTATTCTGCTCCCCACCTATTCCACCTTCCTTAGGATCCACTGATTTCCCTCTTTCCTATTCACTCTCTCTCTTTCTTAACATTTTTTTTAATCACAATTGTCTATTTTTTGCTCATTTTAGATATATTTTTAACCGTTTTCTAAATTCGTTTTTATAATTTTACATTTTTTGTTTTTGTGATGCGCCTCGTGATTTTTATCTTGAGAGGCGCTATAGAAATGATACTTTCTTCTTCTTCTTCTTCATATGGCTTAACTCAGCACATTCAATAAACCAAAGATGAATTTCCAGCGAGTTGTAGGTCAAACATTAAAAGCAACATGGAAAAGAAGAAAGTTTCCAGACTGAAAACAGTATAGATTAACATACCAGGAAGAGGATTCTCCACAACCTTTTTAGGAGCAAAAATATGAGTAATTTTCAAACCAGAGACTATAGATTCAGCCTGTTACACTCAAATACAGGTGCTGGCCAGTAAATTAGAATATCATCAAAAGGTTGAAAATATTTCAGTAATTCCATTCAAAACGTGAAACTTGTACATTATATTCATGCAATGCACACAGACCAATGTATTTCCGATGTTTATTACGTTTAATTTTGATATTTATAGGTGACAACCAATGAAAACATCAAATCTGGTATCTCAGAAAATTAGAATATTCTAAAGGCCAATGAAAAAATGTTTGTTTCTCTAATGTTGGCCAACTGAAAAGAATGAACATGAAAAGAATGTGCATGTATAGCACTCAATACTTAGTCGGGGCTCCTTTTGCCTCAATAACTGCAGTAATGCGGCGTGGCATGGACTCGATCAGTCTGTGGCACTGCTCAGGTGTTATGAGAGCCCAGGTTGCTCTGATAGTCGTCTTCAGCTCCTCTGCATTGTTGGGTCTAGCGTATTGCATCCTCCGCTTCACAATACCCCATAGATTTTCTATGGGGTTAAGGTCAGGCGAGTTTGCTGGCCAATCAAGGACAGGGATACCATGGTCCTTGAACCAGGTGCTGGTGGTTTTGGCACTGTGTGCAGGTGCCAAGTCCTGTTGAAAGGTGAAGTCTGCATCCCCATAAAGTTGGTCAGCAGCAGGAAGCATGAAGTGCTCTAAAACTTCCTGGTAGACGGCTGCATTGACCCTGGACCTCAGGAAACAGAGTGGGCCAACACCGGCAGATGACATGGCACCCCACACCATCACTGACAGTGGAAACTTTACACTGGACCTCATGCAACGTGGATTCTGTGCTTCTCCGCTCTTCCTCCAGACTCTGGGTCCTTGATTTCCAAAGGAAATGCAGAACTTGCTTTCATCAGAAAACATAACTTTGGACCACTCAGCATCAGTCCAGTCCTTTTTGTCCTTGGCCCAGGCGAGACGCTTCTTGCGCTGTTTCATGTTCAAGAGTGGCTTGACACACGGAATGCGACACCTGAATCCCATGTCTTTCATGAGTCTCCTCGTGGTGGTTCTTGAAGCGCTGACTCCAGCTGCAGTCCACTCTTTGTGGATCTCCCCCACATTTTTGAATGGGTTTGTCGTCACAATTCTCTGCAGGGTGCGGTTATCCCTAGAGCTTGTACACTTTTTTCTACCACATTTTTTCCGTCCCTTCGCCTGTCTGTTAATGTGCTTGGACACAGAGCTCTGCGAACAGCCAGCTTCTTTAGCAATCACCTTTTGTGTCTTGCCCTCCTTGTGCAAGGTGTCAATGATTGTCTTTTGGACAGCTGTTAAGTCAGAAGTCTTCCCCATGATTGTGGTGCCTTCAAAACAAGACTGAGGGACCTTTTAAAGGCCTTTGCAGGTGTTTTGAGTAAATCAGCTGATTAGAGTGGCAGCAGGTGTCTTCTGTATTCAGCCTTTTCAGAATATTCTAATTTTTTGAGATACCAAATTTGGAGTTTTCATTAGTTGTCACTTATGAATATCAAATTTAAATGTAATGAACATTGGAAATACATTGGTCTGTGTGCATTGCATGAATATAATGTACAAGTTTCACGTTTTGAATGGAATTACTGAAATATTTTCAACCTTTTGATGATATTCTAATTTACTGGCCAGCGCCTGTAGTTTTACCCTGCAGCAAACTAAATGAAATAAGCCCCTTCCCAGTTTGGCCCACAAAGCTTCTTGTAGGACGTGAATACGCTGTGATAGAGAAACAACGATACAAAGACTCAATTTAGAATGAGTGTAAAGCCACTTCTTATCTCTTTTTGTGTCTGTCACTTACTCCCACTCCCAAGCCATCTGTCATGAGCGGCTGCACATAGTGGAGTGATTCAGGCTGATTCACTGGGTAAAAAGGCCCTCCAGCAAAGTCCTCATGCATCGCAGAGAATGAATATGAGACAACCATTTTCACAGATCTTTAAAACCCTCTACACATAATACCTTTTTATTATTGTCCTCATTCGTGTTCTGATCATTCTTGCTGTGATGGTTTCCTTTAAATGGGACATCAGTGGGACATTGGGAATTAATGCTGAAGAAGTATTTACTCCATAAATAAAGACAGAGTTTTCAAACAAATTCTACATTTTAGGCTATAACAAAAAACGTTGGTTCATTTTGGACTTTAACCTGGACCTAATAAAATATTGTTTCTTTATTGTTTCAAAATTATTCTTTGCAGACATGTAAAATTGCATTTCAGAATTATTTCAAAAACTTTACAAAAAATATGAAGGCCCACCAGTGAGGTAATCCAGATTCTCAAGCAACTTCTTCTCCCTTGTGAAGTCCAGGGCAAAAGTGTCGAAGGTGTCTGTGAGGTGTATCTCAGGGATCAGCACCTGGGTTGATGCAGTTGCCATGGAAACCCTAGACAATATAAGAAATAGAAAAAAATTTCATTACATTTCTTTATGTACCAAAAAAGATGCAGTGTTCCTTTCTCAAAATAGGTTTTTGAATGGACTTTTCCTATGCAGTGTTCCAGGGAACAGGATCGTTGTTGGCATTTTACATATGTGATGTGGTAAAAAAGATGCACAGTGTTTACTTCTAAACAGTTCCAGAATCAGAATCCACCTGAAACATTCCCTATATCTAAAGACTTCCATTAGGGTGAACTTTTAAGCTTGCAGCTAAACTTCTTTGTTGACGATGTGATCTTGTTCATTTCTATTTCTCAATGTTATAAATTTAAAACCAGGTGTGCATTAGATGAAATCAAGTAAACTCAAAGGTATGACAAAAGGGCCAAGGAATAGTGTCTCTCATGAAAGCCATAAAATCTGGTCTTTTGAGTCACATTTTAGGTGTTGGCTGATGACCAAGTCTTTTATTTTAAGCTTGCCCAAGTAACACATTTAATTCTTTAATGTCTCTAGCATGCTATTAAATGACAACAAATAATAGTAATAAAAATTTTAATAATGCATTATATTTGAAGCGCCTTTCTAAAAACTCAAGGTCACTGTACAATAAAAGAGAATAAAACATTTCAACAAGCACAACAACAATACAAACTAGTCCATTTAAACCACGATAAAACACATACAATACGAAATATGAATCGTAGTAAAAAGTAGCAGCAGATGATTGACCAGCCAACCCATATTCCCACCCTAATTCAGTCAAACCTCCAGTCATGCATTTTTGATGATGAATAAACGTTAAACTGGCTGCTAAATGCAGCAGAACACATTCAATACCTTTAACAGGTTCCACCACATTAGATGAGTTTGATCAGGTGGTTTGGACATATGTCAAAGATGCCTCCTGGACACCTGAGGACTTGCAAGCCTGTCCAACGGAGAGGAGACCCTGTGGATTCTATGTTCTAATGAGTGAAGCTCTATGGATTAGATCCTGATTAAAACTTAGCTTTTGTTTGAAGGACTAAGGGATAATGATTTCTTTTTATATCACTCGTCTCTTTTTCTCCCGAGAAAACCCATAATGTACACTAGGTTCTGCTTTCAAGTGCCAAGTCAATTATTCAAAAAACTGAAGGAGTGTGTGAAACAAGATTAGGTTGAATAGGACAGGAATTCCCTTTCTGCTTGTCTTGAGGAAGTTTTCAAACTGCCTTTCAACATATGTTTGTGCACTTTCTTCCTTTGAGCTAGACATTAGAGTGCTGTGCTGAATAGTAGTGGCGCGTGTGGGTAGAGTGTAGGCTCTGACCTCTCACTGATGCTCTTGGCTGTCTGCAGGAAGCGAGCGTGATCAGTTTCTTTCAGGGTCTGATCAGCTTGCACGATGAGGGCGGAGGACTTCTCGATGCACTGCTTGCAGTTGGAAATCTGCTGGGCCAGCTTGCGAAGCCTTTGAGTCTGGAAATGTTGGGAAATGGAATTCTCAGAGGACCTCTTCGTAAAGCCGGGCGTACACTGCAACTTTTTCACTTTTTTGAGCCGATTTTCCACTCGTGCGAGAATCCACAAGATCGGGGCGAGTTTTGCGCCGAGCATCGTGTAGTGTACAGGGGGTTTTGAGAGGCGATTAACACCACATGACCAGCTACCGATCAGCAATCGTGAGCTCGCACAGACTTCTGGCGTGTTTGATATTTTGCTCGTCCCTCGTGAGGATATCGCACTGTTGAAGCGGCGCTGCGAGCGGCTGCAACGCAAAAAGTATCAGAACCGCTCACGGCGCATGTGCAATCCTGCATCAACACCACTCGCCCGCTATTTCTCTAATAACACACGTTGTTCGTTTTATTTCTACACGTTTTTTTACTCTCAAGGATTATGAAGAAAGCGTGTTTGTCATGTTCATGTCAAATTAAACTGATCACAAAACACAGATTTACTTTCTTCTTCTTTCGTTTTCCTCATCCAACCCCCATAAATCCCTGTGTGTCCTCCTGCAGCACTCCCGAAGGACAACAGGCAAGACCAAAAAGTCTGACGTGTTGTGTAAAAACTGCTAGTTTTAGCATATTTTTAGGGCCGACGTGTTGCTACCAGACGTACAGTGTGAGCAGTCAGGTCGCATCCGAGAACTGGGTCGTACAGTGTGAGCACATGACTCGTGAGATCTGCTCTGCAAGGAAGTCGTACAGTTTGAGCTGAAGATGAGTGCTACGAGTGAAAAAGTCGCACAGTGTCCGCCCGGCTTAAGACAGTTAAAGACCATACAAATGTCCCAGGCTTTATCAGGATATGGATCATTGGAGAGCAGAGTCGGAGCTGAGGGTAGGGAATGACCCAAATTGGGGATGATTTTTCACACAGGGAAGGGTGTCTGGAAGGGTATGAACTACCACATAAAATAGTTGATTTTGAATTTTACTGTTGCAGCAAAGCATCAGGTTTGCATATACGTCAGGGAAAGGTAATTGTTTCAAAGGGCATGAGCACACACATCCTTTTTACCAAAAAGGTACAGAGATGGGGGTCACACTTGTTCTGACCTTCCTCACTTTTGTCCACTGAACAACGACCCATTTTAATGCACTTGGAAACCATTTTTGTCAGTGTCTATAACTTGGTGTTAAAGTTGATTAGTTTTTTCAAGCTAATGTTAAATATTTTAGGCCTGTCAGCAGTTCAGTCGCTTGGAAATCTGGAGTTTGGCCTCCCCTTGTTTGCCCCTCAGTTTCATTTCCTCTCCCAGTGCACAAAGACTTCAGAAGGCAGATTTAGGTCAGCTGTTAGATTGAGGCCAAATGACATTTCATCAGCACTTTGGCTTTTAAAGAATTAAAAATCCAATACAAGGTTTGTGTCACAGAACATTTGTGTCATGATCGTGACTCATGATTGCAAAAACAAATATGTATAATCCTATTTTTTTCACATTGTTTCAGGTCAAGTTCTAAAACCTGAAAACCCAAATTCCCTGGCTGAAATGGAATCTCAGAAGCATTCCAAGTCATTACACGCAGCTTAAGTGAATCATCTGGGCTTACAGTAGAAGCAAACCCCTCCTACATATGCCGCGGGATCTACTTTTGGCCAGTCAGACTGCCCCCACCCAGTCTGTTTGGTATGTGTTGAAGGGTCTGCATCTCAGATGTTTCAACTCTTTGCCATCTGTGTGTAGTTTTAGGTTTAGGTCAACAAAGGCGCTACCATTGTTAGACCTTTGGATCTAATGATCCAAATCAAAAAGTGTTTACCTTAGTTTGAAAACAATGATACCATATGGAGTACATTTTTTCAGTGTTTTATTTGGCTAGGACTAATGGAGACAAAATGTTGTGAGAAAATCTGGGAATTTTATAACCCTGCACACACGTAGTCAGGTATCCAACTAACAAATATTTTTCCACACAATGGCCTGTCTTCCACACGAGGTGGAGACATACAGCACCAAAAGCATAAATACCTCCAACCAATGAGAATATTGTCAAATTTTGCCGTTGGCAGCATTTGCATGTGGACATAAATAACCAGGGTTTTAGGTTTAGCAACGACAATGACTGTGACAAAAGTGCATCACATGTGCGACCTGTGTTAATACTCGTATGTTTTTACAAGCCCAATTACTGCTCTAGAAGATCACAGGCAAAGAAGGGTTTTTGCAATCCACATAGTTATACCATGTCCATGGAATGTTTTTCGGTAATGATGCCAGTCATTTGGAGAACTGCTGCCACCTACAGGCTTGGCATGCCTATGAATGTGCTTCACAATGCACTGTTTTTTGTTTGTTTGTTTGTTTGTTTGTTTTTTTTGCTGAAAACAAAGTGGTGTGGACCAATGTTTTTTATCCTAGATGACCGGGGGAGGATGTTTGGTTTTATAATAATCCAGCTATATGGTCTCAGTTGGTGAATGGTAGTTGTTGTCTATTTGTGGGCCTTTGTCCATTGCCTGATGACCGCTGGTGTTAGTGCTCAGATCCCTGTGACCATACTAAGGACAGTTTAGATAATGGATGGTTGCAAGTGTATTTTACAATTTGGTGACCATTTTCTCGTGCTTTCTGACTAACAAAAACTATATAGAGAATGGTTTCTGATAAGTTTTAGCTTGTAAAATTTTGAGACAACCGTTGAGAACAGTTGCAAATACTTTAAACATTTTATAAATGTTCACAATTCGAAGAGCTCTGAGATGTTGGCTTTAGCTGAACGAAAAAACAAAGCAATAGCTTATTTATGTGTGTAGACCAAAAAGGCAATGGCAAGGAAGGGTAAGCAGAAAACCCCTCCACACCCCCTCTTTCCAGTTTGTTCACCTCACCTTCCCCTCTTTAATCTTGTTGCCAATGATTTGCCTCCTCTGCTGAATTATGTCAATCAGGACATCACACTCTTCCAAGAGCTTCCCCTCCTGACGGGACGCGTTCACCTGAAAATCAATTCGCAGACAACATTAGATCACCAAAAAGACTGATGAAGGGGTAGAGAGGAATATGTGTGTAGTGATGCAACATCATGCCAAACGAGAGGACAGGGTGTTATTTTCACCCATCGCCTACATGAAAGCAAAGACAGGAAGAAAATGAAGCGTTTTCAAACGACTTGCCTCCTGTTGGTTTGAGTGCAGGGTGAGAAGAAAAAAAAGCAGAAAGCAACGGGGATGTAAGAGAGCTGACAAGACACTCAGCAACATGCTGGGAACAAGACAAAAAATGACTCCTTATTTGCTCTAAAGTGCATCACATTTATTTTTAGAAAATATTGTAAAAAGGGAAAAAAAATCTAAAAATTGTAAAATACATGGTAGTACATCCAGTTCTAAACCATGTTTTACATTTCTAAAAGGTCAGCTTTGTTTGTGTGATGGAGAATATAGCTGAGATTTTTGACTTCATACTTAATATTTTTGTGAATTTCACACATTGATAGAAATGTAAGCAAACCTTCTCAGTGGCCTAGTGGTAGAGTGTCCGCCCTGGAAATGGGAGATCGGGGTTCATTGTACGTTACAAACCACCAAATAGTTCCCGAGCTCAGCCACTGCTGCAGCTCACCAATCCCCACGGGATGGGTCAAATGCGGAGATGTAACTTCACCGATGTGTGATGATGACTAATGGGACTTTAAATAAACATAACCCCGGCTTTCCACTGGATGCATAAGTAGCACGTAATGTAATACAGTGGTTCCCAACCTTTTTCCCAAGGGACCCCGTTTTTTACCAGTAAAATTTCTGACGACCCCCTCCCATTCTCTCTTTCAGTACAAACAGTATTAAGAAATGATAAAATTGTTCAAGCACATTTTAATATGCTTTGATTCAATAGATAACAGTAATAGTAGGCTCCAGTACAGAACAAAGTCA